GGAGCCAAGAGAGAGCCATAGCTGAGGGCACCAAGGAGGATTCCCTGGATCTCAGGATTCCAGTCATAGACAGGTGCCTAGATAAAGAATGGGATATCTGGTTAAGCTTTACTGTGAGGGCTTGAGGGGAAAAATAACAATAGCTGGCAGTTCTCTTTCCTTTCATCTGTCTTCAATTCCTCTGACCTATCAATTTCATCAAGAAAACACACATAAACATAAAAATCACAAGTATGCATGTATATGTATATATTTTATGTTACCTCCTCAATTACACAATTAACAGGCCAATAAATATAAGACAGCCTAAAAAGGCATAACTGTAAGTAAGCAGCAGAGATAGTTAATAAAAATATTTGAAAGCGGAAGTGATCATAAATCGATGATACCTATTTTGGTTGCTTTTCATCACTGTAAGGAAGAATTTATATCCACTAAAAGATGAAATCGATTTCCTTCATTCTACTTTCTTTCTTGGTAATACTTACATACACTACATAGAGGGATAATTTCTTTAGATACTTATTCTATTCTTGGGTAATGTAATTCTTGAAACATAGCAGGTGCTCAATAAATAATCTTTATGTCAAACCATTTGAGTGAAACAAACAGTCAGGAGTCTCATTAACCCACAATCACCTTAAATTCCTTTAGTGTTCCATTCCAGTTGTCCTGGGCGTCAGTGGGATGACTTCCTGTGGAGGCATTGGCTTGGCTGGGTAGGGCTGTGTGGTTCACCATAGCTGGCATAGCAATGCTCAAGTTCATTGTTTGGGTGGAAGTTGAAAAGTTACAGAGGAGCAAGATGAAGGCCAGCCCATATCGGACTAAGTGAAAGCCTGAGATGAGGAAGCACAGAAACATTCATTACTCCCAGTCTCCTGCAGTCTAGAAAAGGCAGAAGACTGCATTTTGTCTGTGAATCAGGGAAACAGAGAATCTGACATTGTTCTAGAGTGCCTGGTGACACTTGTTCCCTGGGAGGCGAGTGGGCCAATAGTGCCTCTTGGATTATATTTGAGGTAGAGAAAAATGTGTGGAATTGACGAGAATGAGCTTTAGGGATTTCCAAAGCGGGGCCCTGAAATAATGACAGAATGAATGGAATGGATGGATTTAGAAAACTGGGTGGAAACAGTGATTAGTTGGATAAAGACAAGTGGTTGGAAATGACTCTCTCGTGTCCCGCATGAGCAGTTGGGAGGGCAGGTGGTACCATATATGGCTGGGAAACATGGCATGATTTGGGGCTGAGAGGTGAGGCCTGAAAGGTAGCCCAGGTTAGATTACAGATGTACATCAACTTCATCGTTGCATTTTTAGCTAGTCTTGTCCAAAACGCTCCAGTGTTCCATGAGAGCCCTGTTCTCATCCCCAGGGCTCAGTACAGACACACAGTGGGGCAGGAGCTGGGAGGGTTGGTTGAGCAGCCCTGTCCTCATGGCATGTGGGTGACCCACATTCTGGCTTCTGCCAGGGAGCCAATGCAGAAGGGCCAATGCTGCTTGCTCCCTGTCATGCAGGGACCCTCTGGTTAGGAGGTGAGAGCCAGACCCCAAAGTGGGTTTGATTCTGGGAACATTAGTTCAGTCTCTCCTCTTCCCCATCCACAAAAAATTTACATGGAAATTCTGATGATCCCCACATTCACAGGGCAGATCATCCTCAGAGGGGCTGACACATTTACAGTGCTGTCTTTTCCCAGCCAGGAGGTTTATCTCTCTCCCAAAGTGGAACTTTACAGTTATCTTCAGATAAATTACAAGTTCTTAAAGTGTTTTTGAATGTTTCTGTAACTCAGTCCTTTTCTCCATAATTGTCATCTTTTCCCTTGGTTTTTGACCAAAAACAAAGCTTGCACACATTGTATACAACTATTGGGCAGGAGGGAGTCAACAAGGTGATTATTTTTGAGATTCATAACTTTTACTTCATTGTTTTAGATAATCTTACTCACTGGCATTTTAAAAACAGTGCTAAACAGGACTGCTGATGGAGGTGCTCCTGTCTTAGCTGAGTTTACCAGAAGTGTGTCTCACTTTATGCTTTCGGCATGCTGCTAGCAGCCTTCTGACTTGCACCTCTATTGCAGTAAGCTGTCCTAGGCCTAGTATTATTTTTATGGGAAAAACGTGAGTTTTTAAAATGGTGTTAATAGAAACTACCTCAAGGCATTTCAGTGATCATTGAAAGTTCATGTAAATTCATTATAATTATTAATCAACTAATAGTAAACTATTTTATATTACAGGATGATGTCCTCTTATTAGGTTGTTTCAATGAAGAGACATTTTATTTTTAGTAAGAATTTTGCATTAGCATATGTAATTGCCCTTCATTTGTAGTTTGTGAATTTGTATGTGTAATATTTTTGCCATGCTAGTTTTGAAAGAAGTTTTAGTTTTCCTCCTCAATTTCTAATCTGAAGCATTTTAACTACACAGCCATTTGCTGTTTCTTGTTGTTTTTTTTTAAAGATTTATTTATGCATATAAGAAATGGCACATAGGCCAGAAGAGTGAGGAGTGAGAAGATTCATCAGAGACAGAGTGGGGAGCAGAGCAGGCAGATCTACTGAAATACACAGCTGAGGGGAGCAGTGGTCAAGGCAGAAGAGGTCTACTGCACCATGTGGGTCACCTCCCTGGCTGGGATCAAACTCATGTTATAGTGTCTGCTTGACAGTGCTGTGTCTTGAACCCCTGAGCCACCAGGGAGGCCCCAATTTATTTTTCTTACAAAACTTATAATTTGGAGAAGTTTCAGACTTAGAGAACTATTGCAGACCTGTATTCCTTATTTTCATTTTCTCCTGTTAGTAACATCTTATGTAAGTATGGTGTACTTGTCACAATTAATGAACCTACGTGAAGTAATGTCTACACCCAGACATCTTAGATTTTATATCTTTTTTCTGTTCCACAGTCCCATTCAGGACATCAGAGTAGTTTTTATTGTCACATCTCTTTGAACTCCTTTTGTCTATGACAGTCTCTCAGATTTTGCTTTGATGA